CAGGCGCCCTCGCTTCTTCATCTCCATCATATCGAAAACTGTTTTCACTCGATCTATAGCTATGCAAACAATTGCAAACGACATCGAATGATGCACAAACATCCTGCAACAGTACTCTTTGGAAAGGAAAATAATAAACAGAAACTCTCGACATTTAATTTTCCTTGAGAAACGAAGGCACTCAGAAGTAGCCCAAATAGTTGCTTATGTCAATAGCGATCAACCACTGAAAAAGCACTGAAATTTTTTTCTTCCAAAGATTGACGAGGCCTCCAGTTGTGGTGCTCCTAGCGCGAAAACTTTAAGTTGTAGGTGGGCTGGGAACATCCCTTAAACTTCCGGCTTTCCAGCTTTTCTGGTTTTCGAAATAGCGACTTTCCCGCCAAAATTTTCATGTGCTCGTGCGCACGGCCCACGCGTCTGTGAAGGTTGGTACCGCGGTCCTGGGGTGGCATTTGGTCGGGGAATTAACTGCCAAAATTTTAGTGCCGGGGCTTGCTTGGTTGCCAAGCTGAAATACTCGGACAGACGCTCGCATACACACATGCATACATACACAAGCATATGTATACACACCATGGATTGTCACAATATGCTTTTTTTGCATTTGCTCATATACAAAAACGCGTAACTAGTAAACGCGATAAGACAATAGTGGGACAAAATACACATTTAGAAAAATGATTGTAAAATTATAACTAGTCCAAGCATTTCTGGCAATCGTGAATTCGTCGACAGAGAGCTGACCATAGAGAACACAGCACTGGCCAAAGCAACCATAAAATGAGGAAAGGAAACTGCATAGTTAATACGTGTGTTCACAAATTTTGATGTTATCAAAAACAAGCAAGTACCATGGACTTACCATGCTCTCGTAGGAAGTGCAATAAAAACTATTTACAGTGGACATGAAAAACACATTTCAAGAATTTTGAAAAAAAGAACTTGCCAAGAATATTGTACAGCTTTGCAGAGGAATGTTCCAAACGGCCATTTGTAACAAACAAACCAAATGAGCTTGCTCGGACAATACAATACAATAAATGCTAGATCGATGAGTGTCAAATGCATTTTTAGCATCAAAAACCTCAGCCGCGCATCGTATCTCTGAAGCATATTCAGAGAAATTTAAAACGATTAGCGCACTGCTAAACCGAATTGTAGAAACTCTCATTTGTTACTGTTATTACCATCAATATCGTCTCTGTTATTATCACCACCATCATTATTAACATTTCTGTTATTATCGCTACTGTTACTGTTGTTGTTGCATTATTATTGCTGTTATTATCGCCATTATCACTATTATTATTACCCTTAATATTATTATTATTCATGTGCCAATTTCTGATATTTTGGTTAGCTGTAATCATAGTCTCGTCCTCCAGCTACAGAGCGAACAATCTTTTCAAAATTGCTTTGACCAAAAGAAAGGCTAATTTATGCGCCAAGGCGAAAAAGAAAGGATGAAACTTACTAAATGCTAAAATATGTAAATGATGGGGGAAGTAAAGTTTCACTTTAACGAAAATAACTTTGCGATTATGTAAATGAGAAAATTAACATTTCGTGTATGGGCATTTACATTCATTCAAAAAAATTTTGCACAGAAGAAATTAGATTAATTGAATCTTCATG